TCAGTATTCCTAGGTGTACTTTACGGTAAGACGTCTCACAGACGAATGACTAGCAATGCCTGGAATTTGACAATTGTAAACTCAAAGGCCTACTTTAGATAATTTTCTAAAGAAGAGACTACTTTGCGAAATATTTGTATAGTGTTGCCCAAATGTATCGATATTTGCGTATTAGTTTTTGAAGTATTGACTATCGCATTGACCAACACTTTTTTCAGTGTTTTACATTTAAGTGGCAACTTTAATAGCCTTTTCCAGCACAGATAATATATTCATCGATGTCTTTTTGAGTCTTCTTTTAGGTAAATCAAATTGAGAGCCATACAACGCGCCAAAATTTAAGATACTTAAAAAGTCGCTAACTTTGTCCATATATTTTTGGGTTAAGTCAGGAAATTTATTTCATATACAAATATATTTGAACCATATAAAAATGGCTTTAAAACAAATATTTCAATTAAGAAGTTAAATCGACTGCCCGAAAAGTACCCTGAAAATTGATGGATTTCATGTGCGGAGACAGAAGGAGTTAATGTGAAGAACAGTTGACGAAATCGAATCAAGTTTCCAAGAAAAGAGCCACATTTGCAGTTTTTAAACAAAAGATACTTTGTCAGCGCAGCGCAGTTGCCGGGCGAGAAAGAAATATGGCACATGACAAAGCAAATGTGCCGCTGCCAAAAAGCCGTGGCAGCCACGCCCCCATTGCCCTACCGCCCCCTGCCACACCCATAAGCCAGTAGAACGGAGGAGTGGACTCGCAGAACGACGTGCCACGATCCACGGAATGTGTGAGTGCGGAACGTGGCCATTGTGGCAAGTGCCAAAAAATGCCACACGAATGAGAAGTCCATTTTCGGAACAGGGGCGGGAGTAGGAAAATTCGTAAGGGGACTACTACTGCTGCTGCTGCTGCTGCATTTGCACAGCCAAAACAAAGGAGGAAAAACTTTAACCGCAAAAGTTTTTATTTTATTTACTGCTTTCCTTGCTGCCCGAAAATCCGCAGCAGGTGAAACTTGGTGCGTAGCCAGAAAAACATCAAAGTTACATTAAGTGGTAGCAACGCTTCTGGCCCAAAAAACCCTTTAATTGTATGCGAAAACAAACTGGAAACAATGCTGAACGCAATAAGAAATGTGGCTTTTCAAATGAATTCACTTTAAATGTGCACTAGAATTTGTCGAATACATTTTCGGTTGCATTTATTAACTCTATTTATTTAGGGAATGGCATGCTGCCCACCAAAACAACATGGTACTGAAAACAATATTTGCATACTAGCCATATTTACTCAGGAAAAATTATTCACTGGCTATTTGATTTCGGCTTCGAACGTTTCCAAACCAAACAAGCTGTTTTTTCTTAGCATCTATGGATTTTTAAGGCTTAGCCCGATTTCGATTCGGCTCAATTATTGCCACGGCTTGGCCAATTAAAGTCTGGCACAGTGCACTTCAATTGCAGCCACTCCATCAGGGTGGAGGGCTGAAATCCTGTCAGGCAAAATCAGAATCTCAAAATGGCATGCCTAATGAGGACTGAAATGCATTTCATTATTCCGGCGACGACAAATGCATGGCCCCGAACTTCAAAGCGGCACTTTGCTTAGCCTTAGCCTTTCAGCCCCTACTTTAGCCCCTCTTGACCCGATTTTCACCTCCTGGCCCTGGACACACTGAGTGCGTTAATTGCTCTGGCACAGCCAGTTGTTTGGATGCCATGGCTGACGACAGGTGGACAGGACAGGACAGGAGAGTCCTGTAAAGGCAGGAGCATCAAAAAGGCTTGGAACTAAAGTGTTTTGGGTTCCGGACACACAGATATACCGACCGAGCGGCTTACTGAATTATGCAGGACGGCCATAGATCTTATACGAGCCATTAGGCTGTACGAATGAATCTGTGAACGTAAACGTATCTCCTGGCCCAGATCTCATTCGAGCCACATTTGTGCTGCTCAATCACCGAATTCCTTTCGATTGCCAAGAATAACCCACAACAATGGCAAGACCACACAGCCAAGGCATTTTTAATGAAGTGTATCTAATATAGAAATTAATTAAACAAAACAGCAAACGACAGCGGAGCAGCGCAGGCATATTTACATGGCTCGGGTGTGGATTGCAAGACATTTGCCACATGCCATCGGCCATGGTCACCCCATGATACCTCAAAAAAAAAAATACAAAAAAATACGAAAAGAAAAGGAAAAAGGAAGAAAAATCGTGGAAAAACGTGGGCGGGGGGCTGTTCATCATTGCCTTCACAGGTGACAGCACAAGTTCAGCGTGTTGAGTGAAAACAGCAACTCAGCTGCTGAATTTCCCGAGTTTCGGGGTTCATTCATTATGCTTATTAGATTTGCCCGTCTCTATTGTTAAATTGTGGCACATTCATGGGGTGCGAAACGCAAACAGGGCAGACGAAATCATTAGAGGCTGCGTTTAAATTTAATAACATTAAAATGTCTTCAGCAATTTCGGTTTCGTGTCTTTGTTCTATTTCAAATACGCTCTGTGTCTTTCAAGTATTTCGTAATTGCCAAATTCCAAGCCAGAAGGCAGTTGGACTATGTCCGAAGTTGGCAAGGAGCTTCTAATGCGCATAGGACTTGATTTTAACGTAATTCAATGTACACATGTTCCTAAATATTTGTTTGTAAGTGTTTAATACATAATAGGTTTTAATGTATTTTTTAAAATTATATTTTAAGGTATTACAAATTGCCCTTTTGTGATGGAAAGCTATATTTTCCTTAAAACCGTTAAACACGTTAAACCCAATAACTTTTTATATGACACTCAATTTTAAGAACGCAATCGCTTTGAATTTCCCCAGTGCTCTCCCATCAGTTAAACAATTTCCGCAGGCTGCCACGGTCGTAACAACAAAATTTCACTTTTCCTTTTGATATGTGACACTTATGGCCAGGCAGTTTTAAGCCAAAGCTGCAGTTTTACCTCCGCAGATAACGCCAAAAGTGTGTGAAAGTTGGCAAAGAGTTTGTCATGCAATTAGAGCAACATGCGACGAACGAACATGGACGAAGACAGCTCTGGGAAACTCACGCTCCGCTTGGGAATGCGTTTTCCGCTCGCCATGCCTTCCAGCTGGAAAATCAAGTTTTCCCATATCGCCATTGGAGTGGCGTAGTGTCCGTAGTGTGTAGTGTCCATGGCCGGGAAATAAAGCTCCAAACCGGCGGCCAAAAGTGGTTTTCACCATTTGAACTCGTTCGTTGTATCTCTGTCGAACTGGTGTGGATCGCTCGCGTTGCCAAAGCAAATCGAACGGAATCGAACGAAATCGAAATCAAAATCACTTTGGGAATGTGCGTTACCACGGAGCCATTGAACCGAGCTCATCAGGAGCCATTGGCCATTGGCCATTCCCCATCGCCATCATCATGGTCGTCATAGTGGCAGTTATGTAAGCTGGGAAACCCGTTCAGGGATTCGATGCACTGCGACGTTTATTTGATTGTTTTCTATTGCAAAATAGCAAATAGCAAACAGCAAATCGCGCAAATAGAAATATGCGTAAGTGGGGATACATTGTTGCGGCGAAAGTTGACCGTTTGATGGCTCTTGGCCATAAACGCTGCTCTCGATGCCATAAAAAACTGGAGCGATTGAGCCAGTGGAAGTGGAAGTCGAAATGGAAGGATGTGTTGTGCTGCAAGGGAAGTAAATAATGCGGTGAAACGAAATTGCTGAAATGGGAAATGGTATATTGCGGACACAAGTGGAGCTTGAACAAAAGATGGAAATTCAATTTGCCGAGCACTCCGTGGCCACAAAACCAGGAAATTCAAAACAAGATCTTCCGTTCTGCGCAACAAAGCAAAACAAATAATGAGAAAATTCAATCAATTTCAAATGCCGCATTAAATCCGAACTAATTTTCAAATAAATGTATGCGCTTAATCTAATAAGCAGCGAACATTAATCCGTGCATAAATATTCTGGCCGTCATCCATCTGTCACTGCAAATTAATGGCTTAATTGCTGAGCAGCGGCTAAAATGTGATATATATTTGCACAATATATGTGCACTGGGATCTTACAGATTTCAACGCGGCATAAAAATGCAAAAAAGATCGCAGTGCGCCGTCAAGAGTCGTAAACATATGCTAAATCTAGTTCCCATGGGGAAAAAGACATAACATTTGCTTTGCAAAAAAAAGAGTTTATTTTTAAGTATATCTTTTACCTATAATGTTGGAATCTATAAGCACAGCAGATATTTCGGTGTATTTGTTTAAATAATTTTTCTTACTGTGTATCTTTGGATAGTTGCATAGATCACACATCGATTTAAGTGCCCGAATATTTTTCAAGCGCACAAAGCAAACAAATAGCCGAATAAACAAGCGGACATTCTGATGAAGAGACCGGTGGGCGGCGGTCCCCCCCTCGCCTCTTGCATAATTCGGAAAATTTATTTTCCCACACCGAATCGAAATCCGAATTGAACAATTTCATTGAAAACAGGCGCGCGCAGGAACTATCAACAACTGAGCGCCATATATAAGGCTCGGGAAAATTGTAAACACTGCAGACGGCTAAAAGAAAATAGCAATTTTTCCGCACTCCATGGGGCTCAGTGGAAATTTGATTTTCGCGTCTCATTTATGAGGTAAATCCGAACCAATTTTAACGCAGTGCAGGCGGCAACACAGAATCTGTTTCCATTAATCGCCTCCCATTCGAATTGCATTTCTCGCGTGCCTCTGTTCTATTTGTTTGCCATTGGCGCTGTTGATAAACACCCATTCTGACCCAGCAAGGTCAATGTTGGCACAGATATTAGCGCATTCTAGCTAATAAGACATATTTAAATAATGAATATCCAACCGAAGAGCGGTTTTCTCTTTTACATAACATTTTGGGAGCAGAAACGCTAAATCGTTGATTTGAAGCATTCTAATTGAGATTTTCCGGCTGATTACCAACACATTTAGCTTGCAACTTCTCGCTTTATTCATTTGCAGCACAATCTTTTGGGTGTGTAGAATAAACTTTCGCAAAATGGTAGGATCATTGAGAAGTTGGACCACATTCTAATCACATTTCCCCGCAGAAACCCCTGTTCGTTTTGGCCTTTATTTTGCTTTTCGCCCTTGCCTTGGGAGCTAAAGGTCAATTGACCGAAATGTGCCAACCACAATTAAACAGGCGTGACCTATTCGACTTAGCGGTGCTGCACGGCGTAAAGGTGCTCGTCCGGCAGATTGAGAACTTCAACGAGGATCAGCCGATCTCGTCAAGCATGATGGTTCACATTACGACCATGGTCTCCAAGCACATCCTGTCCGGCAGGAGCATAAGCTTCATCCTTCGGCTGCTCTATGTGGCATGCCGCTTGAACAAACCGCTGGCAAATGAAAAGAAAGCAAAAGCTGCAGTCGGCACAGCTTACTTATGCTTGATGGAGTTGGGCAAGGAAAAGTGCTATTCGTACAAGGAGAAGGAGGAAGGAGATTTCTCTGTGGAGTTTCACTGAACAATCGAATTTATACGAGTTAAATCCTTGATTACTTGAATCAATTCAAATTCTATAACATGTATATTGATTCTAGACTTTAAGTAATCGTTTTGTGCAAGTTAAAACCAAACATTTTACAAAAAGAACCCAGTTCGTTTCGTTGAAGCACTCAGCAAATGAAAATGTGCAATGTGGTGGCTGGATTGTTTTCCTCGTAGCCAAATGGGAACCACAAGCAACTGAGGACAAGTTGTGCGTTTATTAAAATCGGCAGCACGCTGAATTGGAATGGAGAAATGTAGAGGGAACTTGGGGGTGATGACTCTACTCTGGAGCATTGGAGCCGTGTCACAAAAATATTTCATAAGCCTGCCACCAACGGCGCAATTAAATGTCAAAGCGCAGCGCTGCCATTTTGTTATTTGATTGCCCAGAGGCTGTCGAAGCCAGTGCAATAAATTGTGGCAGCCTGCTGGGAGTGTTGCAAGTGCATTGCACAGCAGCACCTGCTACCACGTTGCACTTGGCCTAAGCAAACTACAAAATGGTACACCGGATACCGGAGTTCTCGAGTTCCCAGTTATTGAAAGGCACATGTGAAGCACTCGGCCTTAGACGCAATCACCATAGACAGGACGAAATTACGCATACGCCTCGTGGACTGGCTAATTATCGCCTATGTTGAGCAAGCTGGAAAGAATGGCAGAAACACAGCCCAGTGGCAGCAAATAAATCAACCGTGCGCCATGTTGCACCTGGCCAGGCATTGATTTATGCTCGTCCACATATTTTTCGCACAACTTTTAAGTAACTTTTATGATGACAAACGCGTTGGCATCTGACGCTTTGCGTTGCTCCTGATTTTCGCCAAATATCGAAGCTCATCCTGGCTCGGTTCCTTAGCACTTGGCAGCACATCGAAGTGTTTGATAAATGGTCGCCCATTAGGCGAGCACTTAATGGTGCATATCGTGTGATATATTGGCAGGCAACAGTGTGTCTGGCAGGCAACCGAAGTCCGCTAAGAAATGGGTCAATTAATGACCAACCGACTGTGCCTTACATCCATCTGCTCAATTTCGTTTGGCTGGCTAAACGAAATTCCGCTGGGCTCAGCCATTGTAAATTCCCGAACAATAAACGCACTCGCTCAAAATCTCATTATGCTAAGTAAAAAGAAATGTGTATGTGTGTGTGTGTGTGTTGGCAAAACAAAGAACCAAAATTATTACCACTTTTGCTGGGTTTGCAGCAAATTGAATTGATTTTAATCTCCATCTTGGTACGCACACAGGACAGGACGACTCCCTTGTTTCAATAAAATTTGCATTTGAAATCGCTTTTCAAAAAACTTGCGCACAGGAGCTCTGCTGCTTCCTCTGTGAATTAAATTCGGGCCCAATAAAAAAGTTGAAAGAGAGCGAAGCAGGAGCAAAAAAATTTGCAAACACTCGGCCAACTTTTATGCGTGTGCCGGAAATGATAAGGGCCACAAGACGATGCCAAAACAGATACAGAAATGGTAACAGTGAGCGGGGGAGGGAAAACAGGGCGGTCTGTGTCTACCCACAATCTTGCCGCTCGCAAATAAACTTAAAAGACATATGAAAATCAGTTTTTGAATATTGGCGCAGAGGAAACAGGCAGACTGTTGCTGCCAGTGCGTCTGTGTATCTGCGTATTCCCACTCGCCTCGCTCTCATCGTCCTGGCACAGGACGCAGAGCACTTCGTCCTGGCACAGGGCCAGCAAAAGCGGGGAACCCCCGGGCCTGGCATTAGGGTAAATGTATGCGCAAGTATGTTCCAGCTCCTCGACGGGTGGGTTCGCTCGCATATCTCTGTAAGTCCGCCTGCCACCCTGCAGCGAGTGTAGTGGGAGATATTTAGATTTTTGGGTCATTACTTTGCCAAAGAAAACGCACTGCCGGCAGTTACCCGTGTAATTCCCGCCCATTTCACTTCGTTATTGCTCTGCACATACACATACATAGCTGCAGGCTATCGATTGAAAAGTCAGACCGTTTGCTGACGGCACTTGTAATGTTTACTAATCTCGCACTGCATTTATGCAGATGCCGTGTTCAACCATTCATTGGATCAAAGGCCATTCGGCACACATTTATCGCATCAACACCACAGTAAGCCACATAATGCCCACGCAACGCGGTGAAAAGCGTTTTCCGAAATGATGTTAGCTGAGAGCCCCAAATGCTAAAAGGCCTTAATGCAGAAGAATAGGCCAAAAGCACATGCATGCGCATATGCTATGCAAATTGAGCGTGGCCAAATAGTAATGAGCATACGGAAATCGAGAATGCCAAAGAGTAACTAACTTTCCTCGGTTTACTGATCAAAGACACTTTTGAAATAGGATTAAAGCAAGAGTTTAGTTTCAAACTCGACGACAATATTTAATGACGTTAAGTTCGCTATCCGCTTATAATCATAAGCTTGAGCCATAGACAATTAATTCGTTTGAATTGGGAGTTTATTAAAGAGCCAATTACTTGGACTGTGTATAGTTGATATTGAATCCACCTAACTACTACCATATTTACTGGAACGCTCGAAGCAAACTAGTTACGAAGTAAACAAGTTTTCCAACAATCCCGAAACTCGGGCCATCAATTAAAAAACCTTTTTGCCAAAATTAGCGCACTCAATTAATTTGAAAACGCTATTCCGCCGCTCCCCTCCAACCGGCGATGGCAAAATATGCTAGTGGAGACAAGTTGCAGCTGCCCCGCCCCCTCTTTTTAGCGCCCACGGACGTGACCGTGTTCAAACACACCCACACCCAAACACACACACACAAACTATACACCTTGACAGTGAGTGAAATTTCAATTAATCAAGCGGCGGAAGGGATCCCTCTGGACGGGTTAACCCGTGTCTACACAGCAACCGGATTCGACCCAGAAAGGCCAGAAGATGAGGAGCACGAGGTGGATGCCACGAAATTTTCACGTACAGAAGCGAGGAGAGAGAAATGGTGGCAAGGCACACATTTCGCTTTCGATCTCGCTCTTGCAGGTGGTGATTAGTCATTATTTATTTTAAAATCAATTAGTTTGCCTTGACGTTGGAGTGCAGGTTGAAAATAATGGGCCAGGGGCTTGGGGATGAATGTGTTTTTATTTTTTTTATTTGGGGGGTAGCGCCATAAAAGTTCACGTCTCATTGGCAGGCAAAAACATTTTTGCACATAACTTTTGGCTTTGGGGATTTGTGCTGAGTAATTCGGCAAATATTTGACATTTGTTTTTATTCGATTGGTTGGCAAAACCCAGCAAATTTGCCCCAAAATTGATTTCTCGTCAATTTGTTGTTTTTTTTTTCGTTTTACAGCCTATAACAATAAACTTTGGAAAATATTCTTTACATATGTCGTGCACTAATTGGCAATTACTTTGCCGCAGAAAGCCACAACCGACATGCTTCAAATTTAAATTGGAAGTTATTGGAAACTTCTTCAGAGACCCACAGCACAAAACTAATTAACTTTTGAAATGCGTTGAATTTGCTGTGACACCTGACAAATATTTGATTCGCAAATCAACCAAAACTATGACTGTGTAATTGAACGAATAGGGAAATGAATTCTGCATAGCTGATGAGCAATAAAGACATCGCCTGCCAAATGCAAATCCAACAAGAGGAGTCAATGCGCACAGCAGCAAATGAGAAATGAGCAGAAATGTGAGGCAGGAAATTAAATTTACAAGAAATTGCACAATGGAAGAGGAAAACTGTTGCATACACAACTGTTGAGATATAAGAACTGGTTTCGTTGCAAGGGAACGTTCCTTAAGCAGAGCTGTCAACATCTGCAGATTTGGTTTTCGGTCAGCTGGCCAATGGATCAATCTGAAAAGAGCCAACTAACAATACTTTATTTAAATTACGTTTTCTTTCGCACGATTTTCACTTTCCCTTGCTCATCATCTTTGAATAAATATTTAAAGACCATAAATGGAATATTTAATGGCCCATCAGAACCCACTGAGTATAATTCCTCGACCACTCAAACTCTTTAAGCCAACGAAGTGCTGCAACAATTAAAACAAACTGTACGGGCGACATGTGTTGTCCTTTTTGGCGACCCGGGGCCAAAGCTTATGAAATTAATCAAACAATGTGAGCGGATGGGAGAGCTAAGGACTCATGTGGCAACAGGACATGCATAAATCAGAGCCGGTTTTCCCAGGAAAATAGTGTGTCTCAGTGTGTGTTGAATGAAACAACGTCCCCAGAGATTTTGTCGTGAGCTGGCCAAAAAGTCAAATGCTCGCTCGAGGGTTGAGCTCTGAGTTTTGCTTTCTGCGTTCAGCACTCAGCGTTCCGCACAATTCCCATTCATCAGAGCCTCTTAGTTCAGAGTTGGCCCATATAATAACACTCTAATTTGCATGTGCAGCTGCAGATGCTGCCGCAGCAGCAGGATGATCAAATGAAAAATTTCAACGCATGTGACATGTGGAACACGCCTTCCTGCCCGGCAAATGGAGCTTGGCAAATATTATATTTTAACGAAATTTCATTTAAAACAGAATTTATTCAGGCCCACAGTCGGTGGTTACTAGTTGTGCTGCCGCCCCAAGGTTGCCCTCCATTAGGAGCACATTTTCCATTACATGCCTGGCAAAGTTTAATTGAATAAGTTTCCTTTGCTTTTTTGTTTCCTTTTTGCATTTTTAGCCAGCTAGCCAAGATGTCAGATGTTAGCCATGAGTAGTAGTCGGTTATATCCTGCCACCCCAAATGCAGCAAATGCTGCAATTAACTTGAGTAGTGCATAATTCAGGCGACCGACCTCCTAAGATGTTTTTCTCGAGTCAGTTGCCAGTTCCATTGCCCTCCTCATCAGTTTTCCCCACCAGCGGTTGCCACAAGTTGCAGGCATTTTGCTAATTCAATTTCCCGGCCATCAGCGACGTTTGCCATTCGCATTCGCAATTCGCGGTTCGCATTCATTGTGTTCGGGGACATGTTGCCTTGTCTTTTGTTACAGTTACAATTTCCCAACGTCAACAGTTAACAGCCGTTTGCATACATATGTATGTACGTAGATATTGTGCAACTGCGGCAATTGCAACAACAGCAAAGTGGCCGCAGGGCCTGCGAGCGCTTTTCCGACTTTTCCG